TCTAGGGTGATTAAATTAAGTTGCTGGATCACCACAGGTGGTAGTTATTTATAAACTCTGATTTGGTTAGGTAAGCTGTTTCAGGGATGAACTAAATTCAAAAAACCCCAAAATTTAAGTTTGTAACATTTCTAAACAAGAAGCTCTGTAATCATAAAACCTAACAGTTTTTCAGAGCAGGGATCATCTGTTTGCTATGTTCTGTAAAGTGCCTTGCACATCTGAGGTGCTCTATAAATAAATTTTAAATATCTTCCTCATGCAGATCAACGTGCATCTGTTCACTGATTATCCCAAAGTTAAAAAACAAAAGCCTTAAAGGGGGTGGGGAGGGAGGAATTGATGCATGGTTATGGGCAGAGAGGGCAAAACTGCATGCCAAGTCACTTCTTGGCTTGGCTCAAGACAAATTCAATTCGTCTAAATGCAGTCTGCTAGAGTTTCATAGCTTTTACAAATTAAAGGTGGTAGGTAGGTAGATGGAAGAATTCTACTCCAACACAATAAGTCATGAAGACACTGGGCCACAGCCATCCTTGGTGCCACTTTACTGAAGTCAGAGTGACATCCACAACGAACTTGACCCAATAGCTACTAACAAATTTTGTGTGAACTATCAGCTAGGTAACTCCAGGGAAGCTAGAATGCAGTGATCCAACTATTCTCCCTCAGTCAGTTTCTAAACTCCTCAACAAGAGTTAACCCCAAGAAGAAAAAGAACACAATCTAACAGACATAGTAAGAAATATGCAGTGTTGTTGTAGCCACCTTGGTCCCAGGATATTAGAGAGACAAGATAGGTGAGGTACTGTAATATCTTTTATTGGACCAATTTCTGTTGGTGAAAGGAAGCTCAAAAGCTTGTCTCTCTCACCAACAGAAATTGGTCCAATAAAAGATAAGAAATAATAGACTGCCACCTGCCTTTAGGAGGGCTATTTTGGAGGACTGCACGCCTAAAAAAATTCTCCTCATGTTGCACACATTCAAACTCAGCTATTTTTAGTCTGCTTTTAAATACCGCAAATGAAACACTCACTACTGCATTGCATAGCACAGAGTAGCTGGAAGTCTGATTGTACATACATACAGTTCTTCTTGGCAGTAACAAAACAAAGTGACCAGTGGTCAAAGGGTAAACATAAAAGGAACTCTTTTCTTTTTACCTTTTCTTGTCCTCACCACACTATTTTAACAAAGCAGAAATTGCTTGCCACTTGCCCCCTGTGTTATAGCCCTGAAGGTCAGCCATTTTTCTCCTGCATACCTGAGGACAATATCAATCAGGTTTTATCTGAGCTTTCAAGGTTACAAAAGTCACTGCTGGTAAACACCTAGCGTAAAAGAAACACAGCATCTGTGACATATTAAAAGAAATTTGAGTTGTTTGCTCTGATAGTAATTCAAATCACACAATGGTAACCACATCAGTTTCAGTTAAACTGTTCCTTCCATCAATCTTCTCAGAAACAGCAGCAGTCAAAGAACCTGCTATATCAAAGAAACACCACTGTATTTTGTTTATACTGAGACAAATACGACTTTGTCATCAACTTTTCCATCTCAGGATATTTCTAGTCTACCTGACAATTCTTTTACCCTGAAGTCAATGGTACTCAAGCACCAAGCTATGCCAAAGTAATAATTTTGAGTTCTCAGATTCAATACTTAAAACCTAATCCAATGCTCATTGTTGGTCACTGTAAAATACTGAACAAGAACTGCATCCCAGCAAAGTTAACAGAACCCAAGAGTACAAAACACTTTCCATAAGGCTGCTATTGAAAGGCATGAGACTTAAGGTATAACACATTTTAAGGACCCTCAGAGACTATCAAGTAAAAATCATTTAAAAACTTCAAGTTCTTATTTGACTATTAACAGTTTTAATCATTAAACAAAAGCATATTTAGAATCTTTCCAAATTTCTCTCAGCTTGGACACTTTACTAGTCAGTTTCTCCTTGTTTATAGCTACTTTCACTTTCTGGTTCAACACAGCTGGGGGAATGAATGTTGAGAGAATAGTTCCTCTACCACCCCCTTGCTGTACTTGATTGAAACAGGATGTATATTAATATCTTGTTGAGATACCAAAAGAAATATACTTGTTACTACAGGCTGGTCTACACTGAAAGGTAGAGTTGAACCAATTATGTCACTCAAGGATGTGAAAAATCCTCAACCTTGAGAGTGGCATAGTTAAGACAACTAAACGCTGGTGTAGACAGCGCTAGCCACAGCAGCTGAGGGAAGTGGATTAACAATAGTGATAGGAGAACTCCTCCCACCACTGTAATGAGTATCTACACTGAAACACAACAGCAGCTGTCACCATAGCATTTTAAGTGTATACACAGCCTCAGCAGCATGGATTTCAACAGTTTAGAATAGACTGTCAATAACTATTGTGAATATAGCCAGCACTTCAATCCATTTATCAGAATGTTTATAGTTCAAGTAAACACTGAGCAAACAAAATTAGTCTACATCCAAATCTGTGCCCTGACCACCATCTGTGTGTGTAAGCTCAAATGCTTGTCTCTTTCACCAACAGAAGTTGGTCCAATAAAAGATATTACCTCACACACCCTGTCTCTCTAATATTCTGGACTAACATGGATACAACAGTGCAAACAGTCTATATCCAAAACACTTTTGAAAAGATTATCAGAAGAAAATCAGTGTAGGTCTGTTAGTTTCTGCCTATTTTTGTTACACAAGATAACAGATCCCTATATGAAATATAAGTTTATTTTTCTTGAAAGTTTTATAGATACTGAATGGCCTACGTTTTCATTCACATTTTGGTCTCAAGACACATTAAATCAACTAACAGACACCAATACAAAGTAATTAATTTTTTACAACTCTTTGCAACTTTCAGAGTAGCAGCCGTGTTAGTCTGTATCCGCAAAAAGAAGAACAGGAGTACTTGTGGCACCTTAGAGACTAACAAATTTATTAGAGCATAAGCTTTCGTGGACTACAGCCCACTTCTTCGGTGCATCCGAAGAAGTGGGCTGTAGTCCACGAAAGCTTATGCTCTAAAAAATCTGTTAGTCTCTAAGGTACCACAAGTACTCCTGTTCTTTTTGCGGATACAGACTAACACGGCTGCTACTCTGAAACCTGACACTATGTGAAGTGATAGCAGATTCTCCTCTTTCCCCATAAACAAGATGTTAGGAATTCAGGCTGAATATATAAGATTCTTTTAATTGGACAACCATCCCCCACCCGCACAGGAAAAAACACCATTTTTCACTGGGATCTTTACAATAAGATGATCACCCAACCCTGCTGAACACATATAACTGAAGTCAGCACCTCACAGATAGGGCCCCAAACACAAAGATTAACCTCATAAATCAGTTATTAAAACAATTTGATGGTGTGTGTGTGTATACATATAAATAAGACTGTGTATATATAAATAAAGTATGTGTGTGTATATAAATAAAGAATGCATCATACAAAAAGCCAAATATTGAGCAAATTTTGAATTGCAAACATTACCTGTTAAGCAACATCATGCATTAAGGTCCAATATCCAAGTGTGCTCCTTTTTACCACTAGCAATCAGTCAAAAATGATAGTTTTAAACACTGTTTATGGTTCTAATTCTCAGCCTCTACCTAATAAAAAGGCAAGTGATATATATTGCTAATGCAGCATGTTAACCCAGTTCTTTAATCATCGCCCTTCTAAAAAGAGCTCTGAACTAACATTGACTGGTGTTTGTTTTATTTTTCCAAGTGTTTCCATAAGGCCATATCAGAATCTATTTGCTTCTACTTGGAAAAAGTTTAACCCTTAGATCTGCTATTTCCATTACAAATCTGTAACTGACATAACACCACAGGAGACTACCAGCCCCAGGGCCACTGGTACCACATTGGATAACCCCAGAAGCAAGTCAAAATTGGCCAAAAGGCTACCACACAAAGGCTTCAAAACACCACTCATGGCACTAGTCATACTTTATTAGGGCCCCAGTAAGGTAAAGTTTCTTTCTACACTAAAACGCAGTAAATACAACCATCAAGTCTAAGAACAAGATCGTGTGTGTCCTCAAAAAGCATTGAAGTCAATGGGATTTGAGGGTGCTCAGACCTGTAGGATCAGACCCCCAGGACATTCAAAGGCCGCCACCCCCCCCCCCCCCCCACACACACACACACACCACC